ATAAATGCTGCAGCAAATCAAACTGTGATTTTAAAACTCAGTGATATAGGGAATGACAATAAGACTAAAGCGTCTCTGAGATGCTGAAAAGCCCAGATTGCCTGTTAATATCTGTAGACGTGAAAAGACAATGAGGCTCATCCTAGAGAAACCAAATATAAAAATACTGAAATGTTTTGGATCAGTGGAAACAAGATGGATCTAGCTTTTGAAGAAATGTCTACTGAATAGAAACCATGGAACTCTTCATTTGGTCCCCAAAGCCAGCAAGGGCTCTGTGGTTTACAGGGAAAAAAAACTTAAAACTCTTTGGAATAGGAGTGGTCCCCCATGATTTTTTTTTGTTGTTGTTTTTAAAGGAGCATGCCCCTTGGTTGAGCCCCTGTTAGAACAGCAATATGGAATAGTTTGCTCCAGAGCAGTGCATGGACTCGGGTACTTGTGTTTCCTTGTTCTTAAGATGTTTTGAACATTCTATGTATCTTCAAAGGGTATTTTTTCTTTGAGATTAAGTTGTATTTCATAACCTCTGTTTTTTCCCCAGAAAAGCTCTCAATAAGAGTAATTTTTATTTATTTAGTCATATTTATATCATATTTATATGATTTGTAAATGAAACATAGGCCTGGATCAATAGCACCTTTCTCCTTGCTGCAGGGTAGCCTAATAACTGACAGATTTTCTCATAATTGTCACGAGGACAGGAGATTGTTTCATTTATTCAAGTGAAGTGTGTTAAGTCGTCTGATGATGTGAGTTGACTCTGAGCTCTTCCTACTTGTTGCAAAATGTCAATATTCCTGAAGTGTCTTACAGTCAGCAGTTCCAGAGGACAGGTGATTTGCAAAATAGCCTCCACGTTATAATCCCGTGACACACAAATCTGCTGCTCCCGAATTTCCAGCACTGGCCTTTCCAAATCCGGAGTTAAATGGATTCTACCCCAAGAGCTGAATTGTCACCTAAACTGCAGCGCCTGAGAGATTTGCTGTTACTGAGGAAATTGGTCTCCCACATGTTTCTATTGAATAATTTCCCAAGGACCTATCTGCAGTGCATGGTAATACAGAACAGTGCAGTGTTGGAGCTTCTGGATAGTCTAATAGACATGAAATCTTATTTTAGCGGAAACCCCGATGCTCATAGACTTCCTCGTAGAGCGCAGCAATTTGCTGTACAAATGGTCCCCCTGAAATCAGTAGGAACCTTGTGCAGGTATTGTTTAGTACATGAAAGTATATTCACACCTCATTAGCTCATACCCATGACTTGAACAGAGCTACTGCTTCTGTTACGGTGAAGCTCAGGTCCTTTTCTGGTGGGCAACGTCTTTTCGTGGAACAGAAAAACACAGAAACTGCCTTTCAGCACAATGACTTTGCAGTACATTTCAGGCCTTCTTAACCCACCTGCTTAGAAGGGCTTACAATTGCTTAATTCTGTGGTTATTCATACTTGCAGTGAACAACTTGGTACATACGATGCACTCTCGCTCTCCAGGGTGACCTGTTGGCCAATTTTTGTCTTGGACCATTTTGGATAGGAGGAAAAAACAGCAAACCAGATATATTAGTGTAACCATGTTCCTTTCTCAGACTGTGATATCTTACTTAGTGTAACCATGTTCCTTTCTCAGACTGTGCCACCCATCTCCCACTCCCCTGAGCACGCTGGAAACCAGCCACAGACACCACTTCTGCTCGTGCTCCCACCAGCTTCCGTGCCACCCATCTCCCCCTCCCCTGAGCACGCTGGAAACCAGCCACAGACACCACTTCTGCTCGTGCTCCCACCAGCTTCCTTTGGGTCTTCCGCAGTTGCTTTTTTTTCCCTGAAACTTCTCCAGATACAAATCTGTGTGGGGTATGGGCTGTGCTTTGCTGCTGAACGAGACCGAAACGGGTGTCCCTGAAAGCCGTGACCTGACTGCAACTTGTCACTGGCTTTTGTTTGCAGAAGAGGATGACGAAGGGGCAGTGACAAGTGCTGCCTGGGCAGATGGAGAGAAGACCAGCCCTCACCCTGCTGTTCCCTCAGGCTCAGCACAGGAGCTGCCAACGCCACGGGCTTTTCTCTAGCATGGCTATTGTACTGGGTAACACAGTTGTCATGTCCAAATGTTATCACAAGCACCATTCTTGCCATACCTGCACTCTCCACTCCTATCAAAGGGGCCTTTCAACACCGATCTGCAAACAATCTCAGCTGGGACCTTCCCCTGACCTCTGACAACTGAGTGCTTGTCCTGCCTGTCATGTGCTGGGACTTGCAATTGCTTCAGGATCCCCTTGGCCCATCAAGAAGGGCCGGTCCCCAGCCATTTCACTCCAATAAGCGGGGCCGGGGACCCTGCCCAGCAGCCTGGCTGTTTGTGGATGTGCTGCGTGGACTCAGACCCAGATGAACCAGCCCATGATGAATTCCACAGCACAGGGTGGCAGCGTGAAGAGGGCTTGGACAACAGGTCAGGTAACTCTGGAGAGCACTGGAAGCAGCCCGTGGGGAAAGCGTGGTGGTGTGAGTGTTTCAGGAGGCTCCGGGCAGCAAACTCCGCTCTCCCACCAGCAGCGCTCCCCAGGGAAAAGATGCCAAAAGAGGTCAGGTGCCAAAATCCACCCCTGCCACCCTGCCAGATACCGCTGAATAATGAGCCACATTCATTTAGTACAAGGCTCTCTTATCTCTTGTTTGATTTGATGTAATAGATGTACCGTAGATAAACTAGGTGCAAATAGTACTTCATTGTAATCCCATGGTACAGGGAACTGGAAATAATGTACTAATAATGAAAGCTGCTCTAGTCGTGTACAGATTCGAACCCACTTAAGGAAACTAGATACAAATCTCCTCTTGCTTGCATTGGTATGTGTATTTTACCCTTATTTATTAGGTGAGATTTACACTTGTTTGAACTGGCTCTCTTCTGTTCATTGTGTCTTTGTTCCCCTGCCATAGCCTCGGAGTCTGTCTGTATGGAAAGAGCCACTGGACTGTCTCCCATGCAGGAAAAGCAGAATGCAGTGGGATTTTTACAGGCCTCATAAATTGAAGCAGTGGTAAGTCTCACCCCCCCCCCCAGCACATAATCCCACCTAACATTCACCAGTGCAAATGGAGAAGTTTCACCACTGACTGGAAAATGATACTGTGATATTCTTCTGCCAAAATACAGGGGACAGAGAGGCAGAAAGGATTTCAAGGAAGATATAGAGAAGCAGGAATGCTTAGGATGCAACCTGAATAAATAGTGTCATTGTGGCCCTGCTGAGAGCCAAAACAGGGTGCTTTGTGAGCCAAGGGCTGGCTTGGGTGGCTGGGTGCTGTATATTAAAGTACTTTCTCATATTACTTGATTTCTCTGCTAAGAATTAGGATTTTGTTATTTTCAGACAAACAGAACTACATCAAAGATACCTGACTATAATCTTTCTTTCTTCTAAAGGAAACAACAAAGTTTTTGTCTAACCTTTAGGGACAAAAAGAAGTAATGTTGTTGAATACCTCACCATATCCATTTCCTGTTTTGTTTGATGGGATGACTATGATTTACAGGATTTCTCTATGAGACCCAATTAAATACAGAATTTATAATATTCATGCAGTTTCTGTGCCAAATATACATAGTGCTGATACAGCAGGGATCTCAAAATATCAACCACCTGCTTGGAAGGAACAGAATTATGAATACATCTCCTTAAACAATAATTCATCATACTCAGAAGCCTAAAGTTAAGCTGCTCTAGAGCCAACACAGCTGCTTTATCATCTTATTTGGGGGATACTGCTGACTTCTAGTGCTGGGTATCATTCTCGCAACTCATGACTAAGACTAAATTCAAGGATTTAGAAGCCTGGGAAGCAGCACCGAGTTTGGCAGGAAAGATCCTGGGCTTTCAGAGGGCGAGACCACGCGTCTCGTACACTGCACCAGGACCCTGAACCAGTCAGATCAGGGAACCATCCAGAGTTAGTGCATTCACCGTGGCTGTGGGAAATGGGGAGAACCTTTGCCTGCCCCCTCTCCTCAAGGACCCTCATCCTTCAACACCCACCCGCCAAAAAGAGATGGTTATGGGCTGGAGTCTTCCCTAACTGAGGTCAGCTGAGGTACCACCTCAACATCATTTTCCCCAGGGAAGGCTGCTCTACTCAAAATAATGAAATTAGTTTTAATCTGCATGATTTCCTTATGAGGGGACTTTGATCTCACTTGATTTAGGTTTATGGTATGTTCTCTCCAGACAGGCTGCACTACAGCAGTGGGACAGACTGAAAGTACTCACAGCTGAGCTTGGGGGACCTGCACACAGTCTGGGGATATATATGTGTGTGTGTGTGGCAAAAATGAAATCTCAGGACCTGAGTAGGGTTTTGAGGAACAAAAAATAGCACCACGGTATGATACTGGCTTTAAGTAAGTCCATTTTTGTTGCAGGATCCTGCTGTGCCTGTTCCAGACAGGTGTTGGTCTAATTGGACCTTTAGAACTTTGATCTTACAGTATCCCTCAGCAGCCAGGTTCACTGATTAAACAGCCTTCATTAGGAAACTTTTCCAAATCTCTCATTTAAACCTTTGCTGCATGTGGAGCCAGCCACATTTCTTCTCCCTTTAGTGACCAGGACAATATTTCAGAAGCACCCTCTTTGCAGACAATTTGAGAATTAGAAGGCTATTATCATATCTTTTTATTTCAAAGCTCTACAAATTCACCACTTTCAGCTCTTGCCTTATGAAAAGGAACATTTTCTTAACTTCTTTATAATGTCTATTGCTCTCCTGGAACCAGGGCTACTTTAGCCCTTCCTTTCTGTCCCTTCTCACCAACTAAAGGCATTTCAGGATGACCACTTCTGTGTAGTGGGCATGGAAAGCTCTCCCAGTCAGTAACTGGGGTGTCACGATGCCTTGTGGATGTTGATAAACTGCATAGACGTACTGGGATAAAAGCCTCCTGAGGGATTTCAAACAGTCAGAGTATGAGCACGTCTAACATCACAAATACAGTCTGTTGAGAAATCCCAATCCTGGCAGCAGTATCCAGGCTTCAATGCAGCTGCTTATAGCAAAAAGGGGAAAAAACCCAAACCACAGCCCTGTTTATTTTACCTGGAGCAGGTTTGCCTTATTATTACTCAATCTTCCTCTTGGAAGTGTGTTCCTGATGAAGACTTTTTCCAGCCAGGTGATGGATTTGTAGGGCCAGTTCCAAAGGACAGAGACATCTTTGAGGGGCTGATCACCAGCCAGCCCTTGACAACCACTCCAACCACACAGGCCAGCTCTGTTTGTGTTACAGAAAAGCTGTGCCATTGTGAAGGCAGCGACCGCCCTCTTACCTTCAGGAAATAACCTTTAAGGTTTTAACAAATAAGGACAAGGAAGAGTGTTTTCATCCAGAGTGTTAATGCCTGAAGCGTGAAAATAGAACTGGGGGCTGTTTTCAGAAACAAAATGTACGGCAGGCTTGGGATGGGGTGAGAACGCAGCAGGAAAACTTCAGATTTATTTGAGATTACAAGGAGATTTGCTTATCTCATCCAAAAGCCTCTTACAATCAGCGTTTTCATCATCTCTTCTACTGGCTCATTTTACCTTTTGCTCCTAAACTGTGCTGGAGGCTTGGTTCTAGGCTGGCGCTGTGACATCCGCGATGTCTGCCTTCCCCTTTGACTGAAGCTCCATTTCAGTGATGCAGAAAATTAATTAGGGCATTTTATTTCCTTCGTATGTAGACCTAAATACTGTTTCTGAAGCTGCAAACATGGTAATGTTGTAAATGAATAATGACAAAATTAGTCTCCTTTTGCATGACTTCTGAAGCTGATAGCAAAAACAACCATGAAGGAATTGCGACACAAAAATCTGCTGTTTTAACCATACTGGAAAAAATTCTGTGTACCAATTAGAGAGATTACGTTGCTGAAAGTGATGCAGAGAACTAGATAATCAGGCAGATATACTAACCAGATGTCACTTTATCAGGCAAGAGGAAGGAGTATTCCACAGTGAATGGAAGACAGTCTGCGGGATGTCCATTGGCTTGTATAAATTTCCTTTTATTCCCATAATCGCTGCTTCTGGGGCCTTTCCTCCAGCCTGAACCAGAGTGGGTCAGATGGGCCAATGGCCACATGCGCCCAGGAGGCCATGGCCATCTACATGGCCATCTAAAGGCTATTGACCCCAGTCCTGGGCACAAGCACCCACCTAGGCTGCTGACCCCAGTCCTGGGCACAAGCACCCACCTCACCTGCTCTGCCCATGCACTGGGATGAGATATTAAGATGTCAGTAGGGAAAAACAGGGATTCATCTCTTCAGCTTCACTCCTTCAAGTCTTTACAGGGCAAAAATGTCATGCCACTAAAGATACGGAAAGAAATAAGACCAAAAAAGAAATTAATAATAATAGAGATGACTAAATATCATCACCTATGCTCAGATGCTGTTATTCAACAAGCCTTTGGAAATATTAGCCATATTTGGGGTTTTAGAAGTCATATATTTCACCCTTGCGATATTAGTGCTCCACTACTGAAAAAGAGTTGTTTGCACACATATCTAATAAATACATGTTTGAAGCTCAAGTTGATCTAATGTGAGTTCATGCTCAGCTGTGCATGTGATGTTTGGATATAAACAGCCTTTTCACATGGCACAACACCACCCCCCTGCTATTGTGTCTTTCCTCAGCCTTCGTTGTGTGTCTTTATGGCATGCTCATCGTAGTGACTGATTAGATAACTTTAAATGCCTGCACTAAAATGCACTGTCTTTAAATTGGGCTAAAGATGTCAAAGAGTACCTATGTATAGTCCCGATAAATAACTTTGACTGAGCTGACTTGCTATGAAATGGCACCTTTTTTTTTCCAAAATAGGCCGAAAGGTTTTTTACCGCGTGTTGGTGGGAAGGTTCAACCAACCAACGAGTCAAAAGGCAGCCCCAGACCCTGGGAGCTCTGTGGGATCCGGGCTGGGGATGATCCAGCCCTGCCTTGGGACACAAGACCTGTGCAAGGGAGAGCACCACCGAGAGCAGCACCAAAGCTCAGCAGCACAAGGCAGACCCCGTGCTGCTCAGCTCCCAACGTGGGCTCAACACACCCATTTTAGCCCTCACTTTGTCCTTCTCTGCCTCACGACAAGGGAATGAATCTCTGCCGGTTTGAATCGTAACAGCTGCAGTGACTTCAATAGAGTGATGAGTATTTATTCCAGCAGGAAATCTTACCCAAAATCTTTTCTAACTGCTGAACAGGATACGATGCTGATGGAGAGGCACGTTTTCAGCACACACACTTCAGTAATTCATCAACAGCACCACAGCAGCAGCACTGACCGTGATCCCCTGCCTCAGCCTCACAGCCTACCTAGTAATTGTTATAGTGATTAGAAGTCCTCTATAGGTACTTTTCCTTAGTAGCCACAGAATTAACAGCTCTGTTAAGCTCCATGAATAGGAATTATATTCTCAAAAATGTAATGTATTAGTTAGAGAAGTATCTATCCGGGGACAGCTTAATTTATGAAAGGCTCATTGTGGTGTGGATACTTTCTTGAATCATAAAGTGCTTTTAAATGAGAAAAGGCTAGGTAGGGGAAGAAGAAAAATGTTATTACAATGCCTTTAGTCTCCTTATTAAAAAGGTGAAAAAAACCAACCCCAAAGCAACCAACCATTTGTATCAAGCCACACTGTGGCAATGGGGGTTTAAGCAAAGAAGCATTTTTAACAGTGAAGAAGTCTGGGGTTCTTTTTAGTAGGTGGCAGGTTCCTATTGAACATCCTTGGGGTTCAAATCACCTTGAGTTTCCGTGAGCTGCTCCTGTGCTCCCCGGGCAGCCAGTTCCTGAGCTCTGGGGTCTCCACAGTCCCCTCGGGTACCGGCTCCGCTCCCGCCTGGGGCAGGACCCGGGGGCAAACCCAGCCCGTGGCCGGCACCTTCCCCCAGCCTCGGGGGGCAATTAGCTCCATCGGCCGCAACGTCGTTACGGGCCGGGTCAATCCCTCCCTTAGCCAGTCTGCTGCGCACTCATTTGTGAGGACTAATGACTTACACTGGTGCATGATTTCCACAGATGTGTTAATTAGAGGTGACTGGAGCCTTCGGAGGGTCGGCATCCACGGGAGCCGGGGGCAAAGTCAAAGTCTTTGTCTGATTGTTGCAATGGGCTGTTTCAGTGAATGAAGCCACGTGGTCGGCTGCTCGCAGAGGAAAAGACAGCACAGAAGGAGCAGCCAAAAACATCTGCCTTTAAAAAATAAATAAATAAAGACGTGGCTTGCCTGGCACTCACAAAGCACTGAGATGAGAAGAGATGTGTTTCAAAATATTTTTGGTCGGGGTGCCAGAGAGCACACTGCAAGATAAATGGCAGCGAGGAGCCTGTTCCTCTCCCACAGACTGAAAAAAAAACACCTGAAGGTGAAAAGCTTTGTTTCAAAGTGCTTGAGATCCTTCATCAGCAGCAGAGTAAGTGTGAGAACTGGAAAGCCACAGAAAAATACGTGAAGGTGAACAGCCACCAGCACTGGCTTAGAGGTCTGAGGCTTTTTTTAAGAAAGCCACCCCTGTCTGCAGCCTGGGGACACATCCTGCAGCTCTTACGTCAGGTGAGCACATCCTTTTGAAGTAATAAAGATTTTTGCATATGTATTAGCATCACAGGATGAAGTAGAAAGATGTAACAAATAGGGAGCCATAGTCCTGATGACAGATTTTTAGATGAGAAACCCCTCTCAGCTCTGGTTTCTGGGCAGAGAAGTTTGCATTAAATAACACCTACACCTATTCTCTTGGTTACACAGCAGCCAATCAGAGTCATAGTTTAATGAACAAAATAATATACTTCCATTAGCACTTTGAATTCAGGAGCATAATTTCATTAAAAGTGAAAAAACCTCCATAATAATAATTAATTAATAATTGTTTTAATTCAGTCTGGGCTTATGAGCTAATATCTCGCACACAGTTGTCTAATACAATTATAAACATAATTTCATGCTTAATGAAATATAAATGAAGCAACTGAATGGCATGCTCCAAAGACATCTCCCTCCCAGTCAGTGGCCCTCCCAACCCTTCCACCTCTCATGAGCTGGTTTTATTTGAAATGTAGATTGTGTTCTGGGGAGATTCAACATGAAGCCAGTCCTTCAGGAGAGCCCACCACGGCTGGGGGGAGAACCCACAGCCCCAGTGTCCCCATGGCCCCCACAGCCCCTTCCCCCCACACCGAGACAGAGCTTTTTGCCATTGGCAGCCTCAGGTGAGATGACCTGGGGCAGCTGATGAGGATATCTCATTATTATTTTTTTTGAGTGATTTGGGATCTGTTGATAATCAAGCACAGTATGTGTACACTTCTGGCTATTTTTTTAATTGATCTTTTTTATCACTAATACTGCTATTCACTTTTTGAATGATAACAGCAATTTCTCTCCCATTTTGCCCAGCTGGCTGGCAATGCCCCCCGGTCTCATTGTGAAAAGCAGCTACAAATAGGCAAAGCTGTAAAATATCTTCTCACTAATTGCTCAGGTACCTATTCCAGGAGCCCCAGTGGTGCCCATCCTCCCCTGCAGAGCCGGAGGAGACGGGGATTGAACCCCTGTTGGTGGGAGCTGTAACGATCCCGACGGGCAGGAACCCACCAGACCTCAGGAACGCCTGCCGTCCCAGGAGGCTCCGCAGCGTGAGGGTGTTTTATTTTGCTGGGGCTTGGATATAATTGAATTGGAGTTTGTTGGAAATTGAGCCCAGACTCGCTGAAAGCCTCACACGACTCGAAACCAGGCAGTTTTGCTTGGTTCAGGTTTAATTATGAATGGTTTGCTCAGGCTCTGTAATGACTCACGCTCACTAACTATCCTATATACGAGATGTGACAAAAGTGTAGTTCATATACACAAAGCATAATTATTTAATGATGAAGTAAAGTTGATTAGGAAGCCTTTAAGCTATTACACTCTTAGTAGGGTATTTTTCAGTCACTGAATAAATGAACATAATTTAAGTCTTAAAAGCTATATAGCTCCTGCTGTGTTTGAAAATGATCTGTAGCCAGCAAGTTAGGCTTTTCCCATTATAGAATTCTATATGCTACAACAAAGAGCATACAGCATTGCCACTAAGAACAGGGAAAACTATTCTTAGTGACTAACCAGGCTAAAAACGATAGAACTCACATCTCCAGTAACAATCATGAACCTGACAAATCAAGCTTGTAAGCCTATGGTGTGATCTGAAAACCTAACAAGCTTCCAAGAAGGATCTCTGGTTTAAAAATACATTCTTTCTTCCTGGATTCCTTTTTTTTTTTTTTTCCCCCATGAGATGTGCAAGACTGAACAGCACGAGAACGGCCGTGCCATGGAAGGGATATATTTGTACATTATGTAGCCGTGTTCCAATTATGAAATTGATCCATGGATAAAAATCCCTTAAGGGTGGCTATTAATGAGATTGCCTGCTCTGAGTGCATCCAGTAATACGATTAGGTATGCATTTATCCTGAGCAGAGATAAACCCATGACAAGTTCGTGCCAAGATAAAACAGTTTTGAAAGGCAATTAAACATGGGACATAATGTGCGTGCAGCTGTCTGTGGGAGGCTGCGGGAGGGGAAGCTGGAGTTCAGCTGCAGAAGCGCTTCTGCGTGTAACAGGTAGGGAGACACAGGCTTGAGCTAAAAATAATCAAAATATTTGAATCTGGAATTTACAAATCAGGCCTACAAAATGTGCAGGGTGGCCTTTTTGGCTTTCCCTCCTCTTACGGAAGGCTCAAAAGCACCCCTGGCAATCACCAGCTGCCCTGTGAGACACGGCTCGCTCCGGCTCAGGGATGTGGGTTGGGGCTCAGAGGACAAGCACCTCGGGGCATCCAGGCTCCTGCACTGCCTGACCAGAAGGGATGCTCTGAGGGAAAAGATCCCCAGTGATTCCTGTGGGATTTGCTGTAGAAACACCCGTGCCATGGTTGTGGCACCACGTGAGGGTCACAAAAGCTTTCAGCGGGGACTGACCCCAGCGCGGGAGGAGCTCGGCACAGGCAGAGGTGGGCATCAAGCCCAGAAAGAGCAACTCTGTCCCTGTTTTACAGCAACTGTAATTGCTCCGTTACTCCCCACTCACCTCCAAGAGAGCTGACAAGTCTTCTCTTAATTTTATAGCATAAGGAAGAGTTTATCCTTCTTAGGCTTTTACTGCTGTTGCTCAGGACATTGTTTTGTAGCATCTCCAATAATGGGTGTATGCGCAGACAGGCCAGAATCCCTCCGGGAGCAGCATCAACAATTCAAGCTCAAATCAAAATTTGGGCTGACTAAATAGACCTTAGAGCCCTGGCTTTGCTTCCCACCCTTTATCCATCTGAGGCAGAGCCAGCGCCTCTGGCTGAACCCGGGGCTTTGCCAGGCACCAGGTAACGATGCGAGACGGGGGCAATTACAACCCAATGGACAAGGGCTGGAGCAGACAGGGTGGGAACAAATGCTGGCATGATTTGCTCTCCCTTCTTTTTTTGCCCAATAAGCCCATGGTCACCCAAATGAACACAGCCTGGGGTGCCTCTAAATCACTTCAGCTGGCAAAACCGTGAAACAGAAAGGTACAGAGGGGAGTGCTTCCAACAATGAGTGTGAGTGAATCAGGAGGAATTCTTAAAAGCAAAATTAACAATAATTTGTAATAAGAGAGTATCTTCAAAAACCCTATGCCCCAGAAATAGCATCACTTCAGTGATGTGGGAAAGTAGAGGAAATTGAATTGCATGGGAAACTCCCTTCCTCATGTTTTAAAATATGAAAACCTCCTCTTCAACTGTCAAGTACACAAATGCCTTAAATTAAATCACTTAAGAAATTTGAATATTGGACATTTCATCTAGGTGTGATTGAAAGGAATAAACAGGCTTTCACCGTGTATCCACAGACCTTGAAGGGATGGTTGTAATTTTTTAAAATATGCACTCACTGAGTGTTCTGGCTACTGAGAGGTGAGTGTGTAAAGTACACGTGGAAAATGTGTGTGACTGGGGAACTCTCGAATGTAGCTTCGTGCTTTTACAAGCCTTCTGTTGAGAAGCTGCAAAACCCATATGGTACCCATTAATAAATATATTTAGCTTTTTTTTCTTCCTGAGCAATTTATTCCCAGGTAATTATTTGCTTCACTTATTCCAAGTGGCCCAGAATCCCGTTCTCACCTGCTGCAGAAAGCTGTTGTATTTGCACCTCTCTGCAGTAAAACACCGGGACCCTGTCGCCAGCCCCCTCCTTTGAGAGGGCCAAGTAAAGCCATCCTTCCCCTCCTTGCTCAAAAATAACTCCTAGGCCTGCCTTTCTCTTAAAAACCTTATTACAAAGGACTAAGAAACTTAGTAATTCAGTAAGAAATAGTGGATTTTAGCTGCTCCTCCCATCAGGCTGCCTGTTCCCTGCCAGGGGAGCTGGTTCTTCCAACGCCTTTGTGTCCCCCAGGGTGCTGGGCAGGGACATGAATTCTCCTTGCAGATAATTTGAATCATCAACCTTGTTTTGCTTCTTGGGCCCCTCCTTCAGAATTTTAAAATATCAGCTCTCTTCTAAATTAGCATCAAAGATTTACTGGTTGAGTGCAAGATCTCTGGATCCCTTTTGAAAACTCTGATACTTTTCCTTTTCTTTCTACGTCCCTCCTTCACTGCCCCCTCCTGTAATCAGGATCCCAAAGTGTGTGCTTTCTGATGAGGAGCAAGCCATGACCCATCTATGATTGCAGGAAATAAGCCTTTAAAATATGCCTAAGTGCTCTGCTTGTTTGAAGTTACTGATCCTTAAAATAGATGTCTTAAAAAAAAAAAAGTGTAATTTCAAATGTTTCTGCAGCTATTGTTGCAGTATGTGTAACAAGGAGCCACATCAAGCCACGTTACATCAGTTATGCTCCATTATATCATGAACTGAGCCAAATGAATCAAAACACACAGCAATACTTCAAATGAAAATGCAAGCCTTGTATAGTTTCTTTCCCTAGTTACCACTTACAAAGCGTTAAAATATTCAGCTTGATTTTGGGGGTTTATTTTAGCTATTTACCAAAAATCTTTTCAGCATATAAAATATTTCATGTATTGTGCAAAAAGATGAATAATTGTTCACTCTTTATGCTCTCAGAATTATTCACAACTGGAAAGCCCAGTAGGGTACCCTCTGCCACCAGTGGGGCTGAGACTCTTTTGACTCACCTCGTATGGACCATTTCTTTCTTTCTTCCAGACCTGCCTCGTTTTCCTGAGCTCCAGCCTTTCCTGTTCCCTCTCAGTCCTTTTCAGAGAAGATGATCCTAAGCTGGGTTTGAGAGCTCGTACGCCCCAGATTGATCTAATAAAAATAAGAAATGCCATTACTTTATTCTTCAGGACTTTCCGCGTCATTCCTCGCATCGGTGCCCTGGCTGGTCACCCCTCAGCTTTGAATTGCTATTGCAAGAGCTGTATGTGATGGCTCAGAGATCTCCTTAGGTCAATTTTTATCAGCAGGGAGTCGATTCTCCCTCCTGGCTCAGGGCACAGAGCACTTCTGGGATGCTCTGGGAACTGGGGGATGTGGTGTGGCTGGGCCTTCCCTGGAAAACACAAGTTTTCCCTTTTTTGTGACCTTTCTGCTCAGAGACGGTGGGAAAAGAATGGGTTCTTTGTCTTCTTTTCCAGGGACCTTTTATCCTTTTGAGCTATTAGGTATCACGTGCCACCACTGGAAACCCAGTGACAGAAGCAGTACCTAAGGTACTCCCTGGCATGTTTAGATCCCTGCACTTCACTGAGCTCTTCCAGCCATCTCATACTGTATTGAACGCATTGATAGAAGTAGAAAAATAATAGTACTCCCTCCTCATTAGTCTCTCAAGGTAGTTAGAACATAATTTGGTCCTATTTAGTGTTACTTTCATCCTAACCAAGTCAAGATAAGGTCAGATGTTTCACCTTTACTGAAGTTCTCGGTCCTCTTACACCCGTGTGCACACAAACCTAGGAGAAAAACATCTCAGTCATTTCCACAGCAATGATCAAAGAAAAATCACAAATGCAACGGACTTCAAAGAAAAGGGCAATGGCCCAGACCTAGCTCTGAGGCAGCGAGCACAAAATGGGTGAGATCTGAACTAAATTGCTTAAAAACAGCTCCCGGTTTGCAGCGCTGGCTGTTCCGTGGCACACAGACCCAGGGTGTGTGGGCACCAGCCATGGCCGGGGCTGCAAAGCTGGTCCTAAACCCCCGTGTGCAGCACTGCTGGCTTTCTGCAGGGCTGGGGAGAGGGGGGTGGGAGAAAATACTGCATCAGACTCTCTGAGCCAGCACTGGCCAACGGGAGGTGAAAACTCCAGAGCTTCATTTAAGAGAGTTAAAGCCTCCATTTCTGCACATTGTGGTGCCTGCACAATCACGGAGAAATAAATCTCGGTTAAATTTTTGATGAGCTTTCGGCTGCTCTAAATAATTAACTAGGACCTCTCTCATTTGAACATGGGTGCAACTTTTCATGTTTCAAATGCTTCCTGCCTTAATCACGGGGGAATCGCAATCACAAGCTATTCAGGTCACTTCATATATTTATTTATTTTTACCATCACTAGTCCAAACAAATCTTGAACCTTCATGCAGGGAAGGGAGAAAGCCTTTTCCTTTTGATCTCACCCCAGGTAAATCCCCAGGAGAAGCACGTGTCTCATTTCCAGTAGCTGACTAATGGAGATTGATAGGTTAGTCAGGTCCAATAGAACTTACAAAGCAATAGTGTGCGCTCACAGCCCAAGTTTTGACATTCCCCAAGTCCAGGACATTTCAAAGATGATAGTGCAGGATATCACAGGATAGCTTCTGAAAGGCAGATGAATTAATAAGGATACTCCTGTATCCCCTCATGTAAAGCACAGGAGACTGGTCCTGCCTTTGAGAGCCCGGCTGTGTGACAGCACCGCTGCTGGAGCCCGTCCTGCTCCACCACCATGTAACGGCATGGAAAATGAGGGCTTAACTACACCCGTTCTGTCCATTCATTAAGTGCCAAAAGGAGCTGGGATGTTGTTTTATGCAGAAACCAAGCTATCTTGTGAGTGTGTAAAGTGGGCATTAGCTGTATTAAATATTAGATTCAGTCCCCTAACGAGGGACTTTGATCTCCCATCATAAGACTCAGATGTGAAAATTGGGCTCTGAAAGCAGATTAGTAAAATAGCTCCTTCCTGACCACACCGTTCTGCTGCTGCCCAGTGAGCCACAGCCTGAGCCCCTGTAAAAACCTGCGCCAGGAACCAGGCAGTGTCCAGTCTGTGGCTCCTTCTGCAACGGGGAAGGAAGAGACACGCAGGTCAGGGGCTGAAAATGTGGCTTCCAGTCCTAATTCCACACAGCCACCACGCAGCCCCTCGGCAGCCCCTCCAGTGCCCACCCTCCAAAAGGGGACTTCCCACATCACTCTGCCTCAAAGGCACCAGGGGACAGAGCCCTACCTGGGACTGCAGAGGGCTTCAGGACGATCACAGACGGGGGAGCAGATTGCACTCTCAGCTGAATTTCTAACGACAGCCTTCCCGGGGCTCTCAAACTTGTCAATACGTCCAGAATTAACGATCCCAGCCTGCACCAGTTTGTAACTCATTACTTTTGGCACCAAAGCCAGTGGGCTGCTTCACGACCTTCACGACTTTCTCTTTTTCTATGGACGGTCACTGCAAAAATCTGAGGCATTCGGTATTTCCCAGGAACCCCAGTTACTGGTGTTTAGCAGTCACAGTAACCGAGTTTCTATATATGCTGCTTTCACTAATTTGTCCCCTTTTGTTGTGAAAACTGTCATAATTGCTTGATTTAGAATGTAGCCTGCCTGAGAGAGAGCCTCCCGAGAAGTGACAGGTTCAGAGACGCGCTTCGGAGGAGGAGAGCGCTTTGAATTGCAAGCGGGTGCTCTCATGTTTCTGCAATGAGCCCGGCAGTGCTGCTCCTTATTGAAACTGGAGTCTTACAAGATTTTCTTCAAAAGATGTCCTTCGGTGCTATCCATCTCTTCCCCCAGTTTCTCTGAATTGCATATGTATGGACAGCCACAGGTCAACATTCATTTAGTTTTTTTCACTGGATGGTGTTGCTGCCGATGCGTGTATTTGGCCACAGGTACTGACCGCATCACCCACGACTGGGACCAGGAGCAACACAGGTGGGTATAAATTGCCACAGTTTCACTGTCTCACCACAGCTACATCTCGTCACAGAGGCACTGGGAGATATATTTTTTTTATTTTATGAGAGCATTGCACAATCCAACCTCATTTCTGAGCCGTTTGCCCCACTGCCACGGTAGCAGAGAGGGGGCCAACTGCCAAGTGAACCACAAAGATCTTTTCTTCTCCAGCAGTTCCTGCTCAACGCAGATGTGTCCAGCTCAGCCAGGCAGCAACACGGCCACCAGCCTCCAAGCACTCGGTGAACTTGGCCTCAGGTCTCCACATTTACTTTCCATCGTGGTGCCAGACTCGTGCCACCTCGGCAGGTTACAAAGGGCCCCCGAGACTCCTCCAGGGCTTCCAGCCCCCTCATCTTCATGCACTAAGTCTGTTTGGAAATCTGGCCTTCAATCTGCCTGCGCCGCAATTCTTGCTCCTCTTCTCTTTGCCTTTTTTCTGTCTAGTCTGGAGTAAATGCAATTTCTCCACAGCAGCTGCCACCTCTCACGGCGTGATGGGCCCCCCAGTGCCATTTAGGAGCCACTGTAACCAAAAGAAGAAAAACAGACTTCCCCACTATCTCAGCATCTACATTATCTTTTACAGTCTTTTTCCAGCTTAATTTTTCCATATCATGACGATATGTCATCTGCTATTTCTGTGCTCTAATGCATTGTCATACTTTCTATTTCAATACCTCTTGAGCGTGATTTATTAAAATGACAGAGCACACTACAGTTTGCAATGCAGGGCTAATTCATTCCCACTTTTTAATACAGTTCCTCACATCATTTCCAGCATTCGAGAGAATATGTATTTATTTTAATCACCGTGTGCTGCATATATAATTTTTTTCTTAGGTGAAACTTCCTTTTAATGGAGGCTGGGTCATGGGAGAGCAATTATATGAGTTATGTGCACGGTACAGAATAATTTAAAATCAGCTTTCAGGTCAATCTTTTTTAATTATCTATTTTATCAACTTTTTGACTAGCAGTTTAAATAATTGTGTTTGCCTAATACCTGGAAATGTAATTGCTTTTAGATGGCCTTTATTCTAATCAGGGTGTTGGTGTCCTTCCCCGCACACCGCGCGTGTTTGCACCTGCCTGTGTGGGGACACATTTGCGGTGACAGCTTGTATAACTTATTTATAAAACGACAAATTATTTTAGAATTTCTTTAAGTTCCCAGGCTGGAAGGAAGGAGGAACGGCTGCTGCTGCAGAAGCCAAAGAGTCTGCTAAGTCAGAGGGAAGCGACGTGAATTGGTGAAGAGCACATCTCAAGTGGAACAAAACCCTGTGGGGCTGGTCCAGGTGTCAGGGGGACTCCACGGGTGTTGCTTTGAGCCCCATGGCTGTAACACGAAGGGGATGTAGTGGGAAGGAAGATTCCCAAAGGTTTTAGGCCATAGAAGCCTCCCCTGGGATCTGGGGGGAGATGTAGCCTCTCCCAGGGTTGGTCCAGAGCCGGAGCCAAGTGGAGGGGTCTGGCAAAGGTCCACCTCTGCTTCATCCCAGCAGGAAAGCACCTCCCTGTCCTTCTCTTTGTGCTCGCTGGAGCAGAGGCTGCAGCCGGGGACCAGCGCCGCGTCCATCCCACCGCGTGCCGAGGCCACCGAGGCTGCAGCAGGAGTGTCACCATGAGGCCATCTTGTTAACATGAAAGGATTAGTTCATCAGCAGGCAGCTTCGCTGGGTAATGGAGTCCGGGATGTCCAGCTGATGTGCTACAGGAGTAACGAGATCCTCTGACAGCAATTAGTCCTGGTTGCCAGCAGCGGGGGCAGGAACAAACAAGGCCATTGCTCTGGGGAGCCGTGAGCGGATGGAGCGAGTGCTGCAGACACAGGCTGCAGGTAGCAGTGCCCAGCACAGCACAGCACACACAGGCTACCATCTGACCATGCTACAGCAGCAGCACCCGGGGTGGTTTGGGACAGTCTGTGCATGGGCAGGTTCTGGGCACCAGAGGGTCATTCCAATAACCAGCTGCTGGGTCAAACATGACCATGTCTGAGTAGGGGTGAGCCAGAACAGAAAACACACTCTTCTCCTCTCCTTTTTCTCTTCTCATCACCCACTATGCACCTTTCTCACAAAGTTACTCTCACAGTCACCTTCATACATAATAAAAATACTTACCAGCATCACTCAAAAAAAGACACTGGTTTGAATTTACCATCCTGAAATCCTACTCATAGAAACATCCATTTTTCAGCTACTTAAGGGCCTCTCAGTTTGGAGGGCAGCTTCTCTTCTAATCTGATGTACGGTTTCATGTTGTCCAGGTCAGATACCAGTCCAGGTGCCACCAAGCAGCCCTGTGTAAGTTCATATTTCTGGCCCATCATGTTCTGACCTGTGCTCAGGCCACCAGTGGCCATCCCTGAGCCCTGTGCCAGCTGGGGCTCTCGCTATGCGCTGGTGGGTACGTGGCAAATGACCACTGTGGTGCTGAGCCAAGCCTGGCCCAGACCTGGCTGTTCAATGCTTCAACACTCATAATAAAGCAATATAGCAGCGTGTCAATTACTACGAAATTAGCTGCAGAATTGCTGCTGGATGCAAATGTACACAGCATTGACATTTATTTTCCTACCAAGAAAGACTTAATTTTATTTTTGAGAGTGACTAAGATATTGGCATAGTGCTTGGCGCTTTTTAAATTGTCTCTATTTGAAAAATGAACTATCCCTCAAGGTAAATTAAATGAACCTTTTTCTTTGTTCTTTCAATCCTTCTGCTAGAAGGGAGCCTGCTGCTGTTCAGCTGGAACCGCCTGTAAGTCAGAGATACACAGGTTGCTCCTTTGAGCATTGATTTCCCAGGAAGCACACAGACAAAGAAAACCTGGTGGGAATAAAACTAAAGAGCTGGGATGTCTGCAGTGTCCGGGGAAATGCAGGTACTCACCATGCTGGAGAAGGAGCAGGAGCGGGTCAGGCCGTCAGTGACACACTGGGTAGTGGTTTCAGGAGTCAGAAGAGAGAAAGGGGTACGTGCCCTTGCAGAAAGGATGGTGTTGGGAATCCCAAGACCCCCTGCTCCTTAGAAGGCACCATGTTGTCTCCACACAGACCCACTCACCTGCTTCCACACCAATTTAACTGAACGCGATGGCTCTGAGCAGCTTGTTCCTCCCAGGCTGGCCCCCAGCGCTGCAGGGGAGAGCAGCTCCCGTGAGCTCTGCTCTCCAGAGACCAGCCCTCTGCCCCCTCCCTGCGCCTCCACACTCTGCCCCTCGGTCAGGTTTTCTGCCGACACACTTTCTGCTTGTTCCTGATGGCATCTTATTTATCTGTGAGTGTGAACATGCGTGTCTGTGCACGTATCTCCTCTCCTCCCATACATCCGTGTATGTGACTCTGTGTTTGTATTTCACTTGTAATTGTTTCCTTCCGCCTGCACTGAAAAGCTGTAAATATTCCCATTTCTTCTGGCACACACAAGCAGTTGTGATTGCAACCGCCCAAGCTTGGAGATACCAGCTGAGACATCCCGTTCCAATCACAGCTTCTGTGGGAAGGCTGCCTCTCCCCAGCCCACTCCCTAAGGAAAACCAGGGCTGGGTCACAGAAGCTGGAAGTGTGTCAGCTCACACTCACCCGGGATGTGCCAGGGGAGCTTAATGCCAGGACTGAAGGCACACATCGTTAACCTCAGTGTTACAAATACATTCTTAGGTATGGTAGGATCAGGGAGTTACGGGACTCCTTTGAAATAAATTCCAGAAGTTCTGCCTAAATAGCAGAATGATGTAATTAAAGTGAAAATACACTGAAGTGGCATAAACCCCCCTGTCTACTCACGTGGAAAAGATTTCTTCTGCGATCATCCTCTGTCTCCACGTACTCAGATGTTTGTAGCACCTACTCCTGCAGCGGTGCAAATCCAAGAGACCCCAGTGCATTTGCTTCTTTTGCTTTGAAGTGCAGCTGCATCAGTATCTCAGTACCTCTGTCCTGTCACACCAAAAGCAGCACCGTGATTAGAGACAGGGCATTTGTGAAAAACAATTCATTGAATGAACTTCTGTTATTTTTCCTGTTCTGTACTATATATGAACACATTGTGGTTATGAATCTGACTCCAGTTTCATTTAAAAATATAAGGCAGCTAAAAAAAAAATAGAAGAACTCAGAAGGTGATACTTAAAATCTGACACCTGAACTGGTCTGGGAGGAGGCATACTGGGAACTCCAACACTGAACGAACCGATGGACAGGTTAAAAGACCAGATAATACAGATGATGGAGAATTCAACGCAAATGACTTCTCTGACATTTAAAAGCATTTCCCCTTGCACAGCCAGTGCTGCCAGGACTTCAGAAGGGAAGCTGTTCCCTGCCTACTCTGCATTTCAGCAGTGCTTCATTTAGCTTAACTTCAGTCACTGGACCTGAAACTGCCTCGGGCACTTGGGAGGTTCTGTAAGATAAAACATAGATTTGCTTATCTATTTACTTCAGTGTTCATTGTGTAAAATCAGGAAAAGACATGATGGAAATCAGGCTGCACTGGTTGAAAACAGCCATAATTCATGAATTGCCCTGCATTTACTGCCCAGCACGAAATCCAAAGGCAAGTCCATGAAATGCTCCTCCACCAGCAGGTCCCCAGGGCCCGAGCTCAGGAGGAAGCCTTTGGAGGGACAGGGTTTTTACAAAGAGACCCCGGCACCCAGCCCAGACCAGTGCCAGCTGAGGGGCTGAGAACCCAGTGGTATCTCTGCCTCTCCCTGGGGTCTTCACCTTCTGCTGGCACCTCTAAGAGCACGTACAGGCAACAGCAGTTCTCTTCTCCCAAGTACAGGCGATGGGACAAGAGGAAATGGCCAAGTTGCACCAGGGCAGGGTTAGGATGGATATTTGGAAAAACTTTTACACTGAAAGAGTTATTAAGCATTTGAAAGGCTGCTCAGGGAAGTGGTGGAGTCCCCATCTCTGGAGACGGGTAGACATAGCACTTAGAGATAGATACAGTTTAGTGATGGCTTTGTCAGTGTTGGGTTGGTGGTTGGACTCGATGATCTCAGAGGTCCCTTCCAACCCAGATAATTCTATGATTCTGTGATTCTATGAATGTCTGTCCCCAGGGGCAGCAATGGGGATCCAGGAGCCATCAAGGAAGGGGCAGCCAGGACCAGCGATGAACGGAGCCAGCGACACACCACGCTGGTGGGGAACAGAGTGGGAACAGAGCCCCAGTTTCCAGTACTGTTTGTTGGGGGGAATCTCCTAGGTTTTGGTCCAGCAGGCACATCACAAGGCGGTCCTTTCTGCAGGACCTGCAGCCATGCCAAAAGCTGCTCTGCGTAACCGTGGCCGGCACCACGGTTCACCCCTGGGTGAGCAACAGCCTCCCCAGGCCCAGGCAGAGCCATTACGATATATTAAGTCAATACAGCACAGAGTCCCCTGCATTTTTGCCCTGATCTGCAGACATTAATTGCGTTCATAATAGCTCCGGGGGGGGTGCAGACTAAATGCAATTTCAATGAGCTATTAGAGCTCCTTCTTGGAAAGGCCCATTAAGGTTGCAGAGCAAGAGCTCGGGAGGAGATGCCATTTGTACCAACCCTGTCACAAACAGGGGAGAGGGACTTTCCAGAGCAAAAGCAGCATGTGAGGACACAGGCAGTGATTCTGAAATCCTTCCAGACCTTCTCATTTCCGCACAGGACTTGAGTTAGGGCTTGAAAGTACAGGGTACATGGACAAGTCCCACTGCAAGAGCTCTTGGCAAACTGAGGTGGGTTTGATAGAATGGAGCTCAGAGACCAATCCTGTTCTGCCACTGGGCTATTCATAACCACTCACTCCAGCTCCACAGAGCTCCATAAAATAGCTACCACCCTCTGGGATTCAATATTCAAACACAAATATCTCGTATGCCATGAATGTTTTTGCAGCGGTATCAGAAAGCACTGGCACTGCTTAATCTTTTGCTGGGTGAATGTAGCGTTTGGCTTCTAAAACAAGGGCATGATCAAGCCCTCAGGTTCCAGCAGCACAAGCAGCAGGGAAGTGCCTGCAGAGCAGCTTTGCTTTGCCGGGTGCATGGGTTGGGGTTTGCCATGACCCATCGCTCCTGGGGACCAGAGTCTGGGCAGGGAAGGGAGTGCTGGGTTTGGGGGACACTGTATCTGCAGCATCACGGCTTTTCAGGCTTTTCAGACCTTCATTTTTATGATTATGAAAACAGATTTATAGCAAGTTTATAAACATGTGTGGCTAATTATCATCTGCCGTGAGACAGACATTGGGCCACCCTGGGAGAGGCAGGAAGGAGGTTCCTGTGAAGGGGCTGGACAAACCTGGGGGTTTCACACAAGGCACTGGAGGAGACAAACTGCCTGTGGGACATGGAGTTGAGGCCCTGGGATTGTTTTTGAGGCTTTAAATGAAACCAGGTTAAAATCATACAGTGTTAGCTTTGCCATGTTAAACGGGTTTTGTGCTGTATCTCCACATACACTTACAATTCATTCTTTCCGTTTTCACAGGCAACGTGACCTTGAACAAAGGACAGGCTGTAGGACCACAGCAGTGACAATATAAAGAATATGAAAACAATCCTGGATACATAAAAATAAAGGCAAGATTAGGTTTTAAAACCTTACCTGGCTGTCCTTTGATTACTTCAAGGGACATGAAGAGGTGTAAGAGCTGCCACCTTTCTGAACTTGGAGAAACACGTAACTTTGAGAGCGCAGAAGAATCCGGGCTCAGGCAACGCTGTTCCCATCCCGGCCGTGGTGCTGCAACACAATGAACAGTTTAAGGGGGGTAAAATCTGTAGTGAGATTAAAGGCCAGGAGCAGTACATACAGCTTGTGAAAAAGTGGAAAACTGGGCAATATTAATAGGCAGAGCTAGTAGTTTTACAGCCCTGTTTTCCGTACAACTCTAGGTCACATGAACAATTTAATAATTTCTTCTGGATTAATATCAAAACCTGGAGAGTGTGTGAACAGCCCCTCTGAGCATTTCAGAAGGAGCAGATTTTCCAGACACCGGAGGGCTGGACACCCTTCAGACTGGGCACCCACCGTTACAGACACTGGTATTTCAAAAATCAGACACCAAGAATTTCCAGCCTTGCTCAATACCCAACGGACTCCTTTGTTTGAATCCTCGATCCCACCATTAGGCACAAAGGTCTGTTAAAATAATGTGGGTTTGGACATTCTGCCTTTTGCCTGTTTTAAATTATCTTTAACTGTACGAAAAGTTACTGTCTGGGAGGAACACCAGCCTGGATGCACCATCTGCTCCTCGTCCATAGGTGTATTTGTGCTACCCTATCACCAGTTTGGTCAAATATCTTTCCCTAACAACGTATTTAATGCCCAAATAAGGGACCAACCTGCCTCGCTCCTCTGGGCTCTCGGTATCCAAGTTGTGCTGGTTTTCTTGGGAAGGAGAATGCTCCTTGGAAGGAAGAGCAGGGGCATGTGGTGATCAAGATCTGGTTTGCTTTTTCCATTCCTGGGACCTTTTCTTTGCCAGGCAAGGCTGGTGGGTGACAGCCCTCTGTAGACAACAAATTTTAATTGCTGATTTGGATACTTATAATCCAGGGACAGGCGTTTAGTCCAAATAAAGCACGTCTAAGGAAGGGCAGGAACAGTCTGTGGCAGTGGGAAGCAGAGGTTTCTGCTCTGGGATTATCACCACAGAAGGAACTTGTGCAGCCTCCAGCCCTGCGAGCTCTCTCCTGCCCTCCCAGATCAACACCACCTCGCTCTGCTGCTCTCCAGCACGTGCCACCAACCCCTGCAAGACACGGGGTCAGCAAACGGAGTGACTGATGACTGCACTTATGGGCAAGAAGGGCTTGGGGGTGGTGGTGACACCGGGGCACAATGGTCTGTGCCCCATCATCAAAGGCTGGTGGCTGCTGAGTGTCCCCTCCTCTCTCCTGCAGAACCCACTGCCCAGAAGCGGGTGATGGCTCCGGCTCTATCCCCCCCCAGCACCTCACATCACTGCTGTCAGACACCAGGCAAAATTCATTCTCCTTCCTAAAAGCTAATCTCTTTATAACAGCAGCACCTCACGTCACCGCTGTCAGACACCAGGCAAAATTCATTCTCCTTCCTAAAAGCTAATCTCTTTATAACAGCATTTATACATAAATTAATGAAAGATCAGAATATAAAGATGTTCATTTTTGATTATTTGCCCATTTACAGGAAATTCAGTTAAAACTGTTTAGTTTTATCATCACTAGACAAAATAAGCATGACAGGATATTCTAGCCCCTGGATTATGTAGATAACACACAGAAATGTCATTTACATTTTCATTCTTTTCACAGAGCAACAAACCCATGCTTGCAAGCAAATTAAAATTCAGAACTTAATTGGATTTTTATATTCTCTTTAAACAGGTAATATTGTTTTTCTTCTTTTTATTATTGTATCTGAACACTGGTTTTCATTTTGAGAGTGTGCCACTGAAGGTGAGAGGCCCTCTGTGCTAAACGGTCCATTTAACACCATTAAAACCTACACGTTTGAGGATTTAGATTGTTGAACGCCAGTATTTCAGTATTATTGTTGAAGAAGAGAAAGGCTATGGAGAATTATTTCCTTGGGTGTATGCATGAACGTATATATGTGTTTATATATGCAGACAAGCACATGCACATATTTGAGTGTATGTGCACGAATACACACATTTACATGTCTACCTATATGTATGTCTATGGATGCAAATGTAAAGAAAACGTTCTAATAATTTATCTCTGTATGCTCATATTTTTGCCACAACTTGACAAACCATCTGAGAAAAAAAAAAAGGCACATTTTGTTTGAGTCTTTCTGAAAATCTACTATGGTGTGAAAATAATGGAAAACATTCAGTATCTCCCTTTTTTTCCCTGCTTATTGTGAGCTTCACCGAGGTGGCACTATCTGGTTCTGCATTTAAGCCTCTGTCTCCGGTGTTGGTCAGTAAAGCCCAAGCAGCTTCCCGGCACCTGCCCTGTGGCACTGGGAAGCAGGGTTTCCCTCCACACAGACCATCTGCTACCACAAAAACACCTGAAATTATGGAAATGTTGAAATGATGGTGTTTCTTGGCCAGCGCTCCTCGCTGCTCCCAGCCCAGCGGGAGGGCCCGCAGGCACGAGGCCATCCCTCTGCTGTCCCCAGGCAACACGGTCCTGCTTTGTCCCAGGGTGACAAAGGTCTTCTTGGAAACACACACATCCCCATTCACGGGATGAACACTCCATGACCCTGAAGAATTCATTGAAGTGGAAGCTCCACTCAGAAATCCTGAGCACTAAACAAACACACTTGGACTAATCCCAGCCCTTCCCTTGCTCCGGTTATTTCTGGTCATCGCGTGGGGAACATCGCGCCCGGGGGGGGCACTCCAGGCCGCTGATCCCTGCGGGGGGAGGCACGAGCAGGAAGGCCCCGCTCACTGACGGCCTAATTACAAACCTGCCATTACCTTCGGGAAATATCTGACCACAAACGTCAGCGCATCCGCGGGGGCAGGAGCTTTCCTGCTGAAGTATAAAATCCTCTACCTTAATTCTCTGCATTTCACATCGTATCATTTTCGAGTGCATGACTTAAAACTGATAAGGCCAGACATCTCCCCGTATCTTTTGTGTTTTCCCATCGTTGGCGATGTCAGTTTCAACACCTGCCACAGGCTACATCGGTGTGTAAATTAAAACTGCACTTTGCCTCCTCTGTGCTGACCTTCCTCGCTGATGTTTCAGTTGCACTTCCATCGACCTGAGACAGAACCTCCACCCCTTCAAGGCAGCACATCCCTTGCATCATTTGAAGATTTGCCCCTCGTTTTATAAGTTGTGTTTATCATGGGTTGCAACATAATGAGGATTTGGAATAATTTTTCATAAATAAACCTTTTTCACACAAACCCAGACCTCAGTAATAAAGAAATAAGCTTAAGGGGTAAGAGTCACAGTTGGGTGTTACCTGCTCTCCAGGTATCCGGCTGACTGAATCTCTGCAATCCCTGGGAGTTCACAAGCAAACCTATGAGTCTGTCAAAAAAACATTTTTGTGTTATTTCTGCCCAACCTAGAGTAAAAAAAAATAAATTATTAAATAAACACATAATAGGAAAACCTGCTCCCACCAGGATATCAAGTCCTGCTTTGTAGACTTCGAAGGTTTCTCTAATTCAGATGACTTTGGCATGATTGACACAATTTGCTGTGCCACGCTGGTTTTTCTCAGCTGCCTGGCACCTCTCCCACCAGCCCAGGGCTGAAGCTGGCCAGCCCGACCCACGCGGGGTTGCCAGCCCCGTGTGAGGCACCAGCACAGATGGTTCCCCCCCAGCCTCCCCCACAGTGTCCCCTCCATCCCTGTTCCCTCAGTGTCCCCTCCATCCCCATCCCCACAGCGTCCCCTCCATCCCCATCCCCACAGTGTCCCCTCCATCCCTGTTCCTACAGAGGCACCGTGGAGGAGCCGCGTGTGACTGTGCGGCCGCCGACACTCGGGTCTTCTTGCAGGGACCAGCTTGATGCCTCAAGCCTCAACCCACGTTTAAACCTTCTGCCTGGTGAATAGATTATGTTCCTACAGAGGCACCGTGGAGGAGCCGCGTGTGACTGTGCGGCCGCCGACACTCGGGTCTTCTTGCAGGGACCAGCTTGATGCCTCAAGCCTCAACCCACGTTTAAACCTTCTGCCTGGTGAATAGATTAATTTGCAGCCAGATGTAGAAGTCTCGGGTTTTCCATACATTATCCCAGTCTAAAATATAAGCCCAATAATGTGAATGGTTGAGACACAGGGAAATGTGGAAGGTGCCCTCTAAAGGCTTTGCTTCTGTTCCTCCCCCCGGGGCTGTTTGCTGGCTCCCCACCTCAGAGAAGTCCTCACGTACCCACATCCTTTAGAAACAGTTCATTTTCTATTGGACCAGCTCTAAAAGCCTCGTCAGGAAACAGTGAATGAGCTGGAAATTAAGCTATAAAACACACTAATGTCCATGTATTAGAATACAGGAATTGGCAGGTAACAATAAATACACTCATGAGTGTTATAACAATAAATGTAGCCTAAAGGGGAAGAAAAAAAAATTTTTTTTCTATTCTCTGGACTTCTGAGACATAGTCTTGCTTTGAAAATGCTGGTTTAGACTTCATTAAGAAACAAGAGCCAACAATATCAAAATTTCTTCTCTTTCTTTTTGGAAACCCAATCAAAAATACAGTACAAGTGATTTTGACTTTTTCCAATAATTCTGCTATCTAGTTGTGCTCCTTTAATTAGCTATCAGCAGCACTTAATTTATTTCTAGTGTATTGTTGGCAGCTTTTTGCATATCTCTCCCAACCTGTGAAAAATCACAAAAATAGACCTACAAAAATTAATCTTCCTGTTCCCTGTGCAGAGATATTAAAATGGTAATTGCATTCTTTATACCTCTAAAACCTGGTTCTACTTCTAGATACTTATCTGCAAGCCCAATGAAATCGTGTGATAGCTGTTGTTGATGCTACTTACACGTTACTGGAAGTTATTGAGATCTGATAATAATCGTTGCGCTGTGAAAGCTTCCCTCAGCCAGGCCAAATCTCATCCGTGCCTTTGATTTCTGTACCAAAGGGTGATCGTCTGGACAAATAAACTCCATTTATTAATTCTTAGCATCATACTTACCTTTATTTATTATAGCACAGGAAGAAATCTTGTCATCTGAAAGACATACTCGGCTTGCAACAGAGCAATTTTTTAAAAACCTAGGGCTCAAATACAGCCTGTTTCCCCCCGAGCAGGCAGGTCACATCCCACCTGACTCCTCAACGTAATTCACCGCCCCATGGAAGCCCCCCCTCAGCCTTAAAGGCTTCTCAGAGCTGCTCTGCGACACAGGGTCTGACAAACCACCTTCCCCTACCGTTTGGACATCTTCTCACACCAGAGCCTCCGAAAACAGGGAGGATGGTGGGGTGTGGTAGGACTTTTTTTTGTTTGGTTGTTTTTTTCCTTTTAGATCAAGTTATTGAAGACTCTGTTCTCCACAGACCCGAGCAGGGAAAGGCCAGGCAAGGACTACCCACAGCTGGAGGCACCTTCTTACTCGAGCTCCAGCCTGGCCTGCAGGGACCACCAGTGTCAGACACTTCATCCCAGAACCACAACCTGTGCTGAAGCGGTGGAGCAAGGGCTCTGATTGAACTACAGGCAGAGAATGGAGAACCTTTGGAAGCTCAGTATTTTTCACTCCGGAAGAGGTGATATCAGAGAGAGAAGGAAGGGAACAGGTTACACTGTTGAAAGGACCTCTAACATTCGGATTTATTTTAGTGTTGTGTTCTCACAATGGGCAGCTTTAAATGCCCTACAGTAACTGTAAAAGAAACCCCATTAAGAGACTCTGATGAAGGGAACTATTAAAACTGAATATACAGCTTGCTCTGATGAATTTCCCTACTTCCTTTTTGCAGCAAATAATATAGTTCTACACTGATCTTTTTCCTTTCACTAAAAGTGTGAACTACAGTCCTATAAATTCACCCTTTCTGTCAATTAAATTAAATAAACATTGTCTAAGTGCATTAGGAAAAGATCCAAAACAATTCAATACCAGGGTTAGTTATTGAGGGTGCTTTTTAATGAACACAAATTGATGTAATTAAAATAAATCTGCTTTTCACGTTTCTCAAGTAGATGCCCCATAGCCATTCCCGTAGAACACGACAGCAGAATAAACACTGAGCCAAAGCCACTGTCTTTCCTCAGACTGCACAGGAGATTCCTGCTCTCTGGGATTTTGGAGGTATGACTGGGGATGTTGTTTACTTCAACAGTTGTTGAAACGTAAAAGAGAAGATCAAAACTCAGCATCGTTTGGTTTAGTGGCCAGCCCAGCCCAAACCACGACACGCAGCTTTTTGTTAAATTTTGCTTTTACCCCTGGCATCACCTTCTTTGTACAGAAGGAAATGAGTAAAGAAAAATGCTCTTTAATATCACTCTTGGTGACTAGTTGGTACCTTCTATGAATTCTCCTTTTGGAAGGTATTTTTTGAGTTGTGATACAGTCATGTCAGGACCACATTTAAAACCAACATGCAAGGTTAGAAAAGTATTTTTCTAAGATCTCCCCCCCTCTCTTTCTTCATGTCCCTAAAATCATAACAATAAGATCACCAACATTTTTGATATTTAGGGATAGGAGGTGGGAGCATACCTGGCCCAGCAGGTACCAGGTATGGCTATTAATAAACCGTACAGAGCTGAGGGAAGGAGAGCACTAAAGGACCTCAGCTGGAATATATTAGATAATTTTTAAACTGATGGAGATTAATAAAAAATGATCAAAAATCCTTGACACCTGAGTCCCACATTCTGATGTTGATGATGTCTAAGGTGGAGGTGTGTGCCCAGAGCCCTCGCCTTAAACTGCTCTGAGCTCAACCCACAAGGACACTGTCATCAGCATGTGGGTCCTTCTGACAAAATAAAGGTTACTGGTCCCCTCTGATTGCACAGTCCTGTTCTCCAGATCGCTCCGCAAAGAGCACGGGGCTTTACAGCACAGGGAAGGCATAAGAAAACAAATCCCATCCCTGGCAGCACCACCATTCCTCCCCTCACCTTCACTGGGGCTCGCCTACCTTCTCCAGCTGAAGTCCTGCTGCCTCTGACAGATCAATTCTCCAAATCACCTTCCATTTCAGGAGTTCTCCTTCACATGGCAAAAGTGTTCTGGCTGGAAAACCAAAAAAAAGATACTTGGTGTGTGCGACAGTGTCATTGACAATTAGTGCCTTTAGCACTCCCTCTGCAGAGAGAGGGATTTCGCTCTGTGGGTGAATAAAGAGCTTGGGTCTCCAGGGCCATCAGCCTTCAACAGACAATAAATACATGCAACAGCGTAGAAGGGAATATAAATCAGAACAGCAACTTCAAGGGTCCTTCTTAATAACACAATGTATGTTTATCTCCAAGAAAAGGAGGCCCAGCAACTCCAAACACCAGGGAATTCCCACACACCACGGCATTGTCTGTGGCTCTCAGAAAGCTACAACTGGAATAGACGTCGCTGTTCTTAATGTGAGAGACCCACGCCCTTAGAGAGAGGAAACCACAGCGCTCAGTCTCCCCCAGGGCAGCACAAGCATAAGATTTAAAAACATTTCCACTGCCTCGATGACCCGTGTTGCAAACCAGCAGGGTACCAGGTGCTGCCCTGGGCTCTGCGGCACAACAGGTAAAGTCCTCACATCTGGATGCACATCTCTCCACCCTTAGAAGGTGGTGGCTTTGATGAAGGCACAGAGCTGGGAAGCACAGGAGTTCATCTATAGCACGCTTTTAGGGTGAGGCAGTTCCGCTCTTTTCAGTGTATAAATCTTTCCCTTTTTTTTCCCCCCACTCTCTTCTGATTTTTCAAGGTTATTATCTCAATGCTTTTTCCTTGGTGCCAATTCCTCTGAACTTGAGTTCACAATGACTCACAGCAGGGAGGCACAGAGAGAGCTACCACCAGACGCCTCCTCCCTGGAGAAGCTTCACAATGCTGCCTATTATTTAGCAACTTGAAACGCTGGTTTAATGGCACACATCTCTTGAACATCCCTGTCTTTCACTTGTTCGCCCCAGGGACCCAAGCCATGGAGATGTACCTCTGCTCCCCCCATCCCACCTCCCCACTGTGCAGGAGGGCAGGGGAGCTGCCAGGCTCCAGGCTGTGACTCCCTGCACTGGGGTTCAGCACGTTGAGGTGGTGGGCTCCAAAGCTCACGTGTTCACCCACCGGTGAAAGACCTGAAAACGGTTAGAGAAACCCAGCATTTCTTAGGAGAGTGTTGAATTTGGGGGTGTTTTCCTGCTTTGACTGTGCTGGGATTGGGGTTTCAAGCTTCTCTGCTGATGCTTAGTAGAAGACTTCCTTAGCAGAAGCAAACCCTCCTTAGCAGAAGATCTCTCATCGCAGTTTAAAAAGCCAGCCATCCCTCCTCGGATGTCTCACTGCAGTTTAAAAAGCCAGCCATCCCTCCTCGGACTCCCACAGCATTTATTGAGCAGGAGAGGAGAGGTACTAGGGATATACAAACCTAAAGTTCCGGAAGGAAATCAACTCATTAGTGATGACAAAAGCACAGGCCCCTCTGCCTCCAGCCTCGCAGGCTGAGACCAGGACAGAGAGCCACGACGTGGCATCGACAGGCCCTCAAACTCACCCACCAGCCATTTAAATCCAGCTGTATTATCTGTCATTCCCTCTGAACATCTCTCTTCCAGAAACCACGGCAGGTGAAATCCAATACCAGGCACTGACTCACAAAGAGCTATTCATTTTCAAGATATCTTTCACCCGAATCCTTTGTTAGACACTTCTAAGGCAAACACGGGGTGATGAAGGTGCAGGTGAAGTGACAAGTTGAACTGATGGCAGAGGATACACAAAGTGCCTGGGGTCTGGCTGTGCCTGGATCAACAGGGTAACGACTCTAAATTCACCACGTGATGCTGAGCATCTCCCCTCGCCTCTCAAATATTATTTTTCCCTTGACACATTTGCTTTTGAGTTATCCATTTGC